GATGAAAAGATACAGAATCTGTAGCCACATTATGTACATGGCTACGTTTGACAACATTGCGACTTGCGGTCGTACTGACTATTGAGTATATTATTACTGTACAGACTCTTTTATACCCTCCTGCCTTACACTTCCTACCCCTTTTCTTTCCACAGCTGCATTCGACTAGCAGAGTGGCGCAATTGAAGCGCGCTGGGCCCAGACCTCAGAGGTCCGTGGATCGAAACCACGCTCTGCTATTTTTTTTTCTTCACGTTACCTGTACATACACAGATGTTACTCTAACTTGTTTTCGTTTTTTTCCGCGATTCACTTTTTTTTGTTTTATTCATTTTGTATGATGATAATAGGGATTGGAGTCTCATGTCAGCGCGATAGTGGAGAGGGGGGTCTCATCACCGCGCGCCGCTGGTAACCGAGGACGCAGCAGCGTGCAACTTATATACTCGCTTCTTTACCATGGTCATCGAGTGTACGCGATAGCCGCATGCGTTTGACGTCAGACTGTCGACCGCGCGAGCCGGGTTCGAGCCCCGGCGAGCCGTCGTTTTTTTTCCGCGATTAAACAATTTTTCTTCTTTTATGGAGGTATTGGGGTGGGGGGGGGAAACATGCGGCTCGCGCGTACATGACTGCCTTTGTTACCTTGTTACGTGATGGCTAACGCGTCGGTGGTAACGAGGGACGCCGCGTGGCGGCGTGGGGGAGCACGGGTATGCTGTCGGGGCGAAGGAAGGGCATTACCCCCAACTCCGCGCGGACCTTTTGTGGAGGAGGGTTTGGACCCCACCTCCACATGGGCCTGTGTGGAGGGGGCCTTGCCCCCACCCCATGTGGAAAGGGGAGGGGCCCACCCTCCCCCCACCCTGGAAAGGGTGTGGAAAGGGGAGGGGCCACCCTCCCCCCACCCTGGAAAGGGTGTGGAAAGGGGAGGGGCCACCCTCCCCCCACCCTGGAACGGGTGGGGGTTTCCCCCACCACCCCGTCAGCACACCCCCTCCCCCGCGCCCCGCGCGGCGGACCCGAGGTAGTAGTAACCTAGCCTATCTACTCGCGTGTTTGTGATCAAACCGGATTTAATATACAACGTTGATACTTTTTGCCTTTGACACTCTCATTTTAAGCCTTTCCTGGATCAACCTGTTTTCTATTCATGACAACATAATATCAAATCCTGACATCTGTGTCTACCGATATCTGCAAAATATCATGCATCCCCCTTTATATTATTCTAATATTAAATATTAAGTATTTTTCAAGTTTTAATATCATTTTGTATAGTTTTTATAAGTGACGAATGTCAGAAAATTTTTAATATTTTTATTCATTACATTCATAACAAACATGTCTTAAATTGCATTACTTGAAGTAAATTAAACTATTGTTTTCAATTTTTATAGGCTGTGCTGCGTAAATGGCGAAAACTGCGTCTTTCAAATCTTCCAAAAACTGTACTTTCGATGACAATGGCATTGCCTTTATTACCACCAGATATGTTTCAAGAAGCTTTATTTATTATACAAGCTGAAGTTGATTTACTTTCTCGGGAATATCCAGATATTTTACAATTCACGTCTTATTTACGGCTTACCTGGTCAAATATGGCATCAAAAATTAGTACTTATGATTGCCCTGTACGTACTAATAACATAGTGGAAAGTTTTCATAATGTTGCGGTACAGAAACTAAGCACAAGAAATACTAATATTTGGACGTTTCTAGGTAATGTTTATATCAATATATTTATAATAATAAACATTCATTATAATTATATAAATTATTTTTAGTTTCATGTTGTGTTAATAACAATTATTTAGTTAATGTTCCTTCGTATAATAATTTCAATAATTAATTTCTTTTCTAGAAAAATTATCAAAGTTAATTACCGATCAAGAACTAGATATTCGACGGTTAAAAAATGGTGTTAAACCTCGACGATGCCGCACACGGACAAATAGAGAACGTGACATCAAAATTATTAATGCTCAAAGAGACCTAGTTAATAAAAGGTTACTTTAAATTTTCTAATTTTTAAGCTCCGAGTCGAACGATTATGTTAATATATAATAATAAAGCTTTTATTATGTTAAGGTTGCCACTTAAGGAATTCTTGCTGATGTTTACTAGGAATAATACTGAAATCTTTCAGTTAGAACAAATGGCATCATTCGAAGGTAAATATACTACACTCAGATGCAAAAAAAAGCAGTACACAAAAATTTGGGAGAAATTTACCAAATTTCAAGTGATCATAACTTGGTAAATAATAAAGATAAAAATAAATATGTATAAAATGGAAAATGAAGCTCCGAATGTCCTCTTTAAGAATATTTGAATGGCAATTATGCTCGGCCATTTTTTTCAAAATAGCGAATGATAAAGTTATCATTCGCTATTTTGAAAAAAATGGCCGAGCATAATTGCAAATATTCTTAAAGAGGACATTTGGAGCTTCATTTTCCATTTTATATTTATTTTTATCTTCATTATTTACCAAGTTATGATCACTTGAAAAATTTGGTAAAGTTCTCCCAAATTTTTAGTGTACCGCTTTTTTTGCATCCGAGTGTATATCTATTATATATGAATCATACTTACGAGAAATTTGTATTATAATCTTATTATAATTTTCACATTAAATTTAAATATAAATTAGAATTATAATATACAATAACAATAACAAATTCCAAAAATATGCAATGACTGTTTCTTCTCTTCAGATGCTGAATCAAGTGATATTGTACAAGCTGCCGACATAGAGTTATTCACAGATAGTTTGGATGAAAGATTTCAGACAGGTTATTGTTTTCTTATCTTTGCATCTATCAATTTACTTATTAAGTATATTAATTCTATATGATTTCGAATTTTTATCTCTTTAGTTATTCCTAATTAAGAATTTTCAGTTTGTTAACTCTATTAATTTTACGATAATAATGAAATAAAAAATCTTATACACAAATAGCAAAATTTTGAAATGTTTCAAATTATATTATGATTTTAGAGTAAAAAATTTAAAATATTAAAATAAACTATTACTTTAAAAAATTAGCTCAAATATTGTAATTTTATACATGTTTTCATAAATCATTTCATTTATTACATTTCAGGAAAGCAAAATAATGTTAGACGTAGAAGATCCCGACATGTACACACAAATTCATCTACACGAAAAGACGAAGAACATGTATCCAGAACAGAGGTAGAACATACATCTAGAAGAGAAGAACATGAATTCAGAACAGAGGAAGAACATGTATCCGGAATAGAGGAAGAACATATGTCTAGAAGAGGAGAACCTGTATCCAGAACAGAGGAAGAACATGTATTCAGAAGAAATGCAGGTAATAAAAATTACAAATATTTAAAGTTTTTCAGACGTTCCCATTATGATGCATACACCTCTTTACTTCGTCTTTATTAAATATTTAAACAAAAAGTTAAATATATAAAAATAATCTTTACTTTCAGACCAAGATAGAAAAAATTTTGATACACAGAGGACAGAAGTTACACGTGAAATGGTACAGACAATACAAGTGACGCAACATGAGGAATTACAGACAAATAGTAATACTTCTGTTTCGGATATTGAACTCACAAATACGCAAGGTAATATTACAACATCACTTGTTTCAAGATACTCGTATAAAATCAAGTTAAAATCTCATATAGAGCTCTAGATTTATTTCATCTATAGATTAGAAGACTATATTCTTACTCACCTTTAACTCTTTTATATTTCATAGACGACGCATCATTATTTGAGGTTCCGGAAGACGATTACGGATATTTGTCAACAAACTCAAACGAGAACAATGCCTCGATAGAAGATCATCCATTTCATGC